GAATCGTACGGTGTCGAATAATTTGGTGTCGAATAAATCTGTGTCGAATCGAGCGGTGTCGAATCGTACTGTGGTCAAACGGAACCCGCCCGATTTTCCCTATGACGCTTGCTTGATGCCCTGTAACGCCTGTCAGTTTCATGCTCGTCTTCTCGGCTAGCGTTTTCTCTTTTAAATATTTTTTTTTAATCAATGACACTGTAGCTCTAGTGTCATAAAGCAATTCTCCTTCGCCTTTTTTTGCTTTTCTCATTGGTACAGTGACTAAGTCCAAAACTGCTTGCGCAGCATTTAGTTCGGCTACCTGTATCTCTGCTACTGACACGGTTTTTTTTTCTTTTCCGTTGTTGTTTTCTTCTTCGTCATTCGATGACTCGCTATTGTCACTTTGGCTTTTCTTTTTCTTGTCTTTTCCCGCACATATGGCTTTTACAACTCCTTTTTTATTTTTCCTGCCTTTCAGTGACCAGCAATTTTCTTTGATATGCCCTGCTTTCTTGCAATAACTACAATGCTTATCCACAGCGTTTACTTTGCCACTGCTTGGTTTAGGCAATGTCAATCTGTTTGATCGGCACTCTTCCGTAATGTCCGATTTTTCCGCATTTGTAGCACGCGTTTTTTTCATAACTTTTTCCCATCTTTTGCTTTACTGCAAAATTTCCACCGTGGCTGCTTTGTGGCACCGCCACCTTTTCTTCAGAGCTTGCTGCGTTTATAGCCTCTTGTAACGTTCCATAGTTGCGTGATCTTATTATTAATCTGACGTCACTCCTTAAACCTATTTGGAACGGTTGCAGCGCTTGTATCTTAATAGTATTCATAATAGTACGTTTCTCTTCTATGGTGTGCCCTTTGCCTTCCACCATAGATTCGTACAACTCCTTGGCCGTTTGATTTACTCTTTGACTGTATACCTGTGCGTTTTCATTACTCTTTTGTCGCAATGTGTTGAATTCTATCTGTAACTGTGTATTGTTTTGCTTTGCAAAATACGTAGCTTCTATTTCTGCTTTTAACTGTCCAAAATCGCGAATGTCCTTTGTTTAAAATTCAATAAATGGTTGCCCTCTCAGCTTGGTTCGCAATACTGCTTGCAAGAGAGCGGGTTTCTCCGCAGGGTTGACCATTTCCTCTGCGTACTTGCACGCATTCAACAATTCTCGAACTTGCTCAGGTGATTTCCCAGTGAACGTCGGTATTATTCCGACCACGTCTTTTAATTTTAGACTACCATTGTACAACACGTCGCGATTTTTTACGTCGTTAGCAGTTTGTTACGTCTAGCTGTTCGCTCGGACGTCTGTACACGTGTCGCGTCATCGACACTCCCGTCCCGCGTCCGTGTGTTTTGCGGAGTTCCGTCGGTCTACCGCGTCTACTCGCGAACTTATCGCTTCTAATGACCGCACTACCTGCTGTAGCATTGCGTCAGCGGAGTTGTAACCTTGCCCACTTGTTCCCGCGGTTCCGCGCCCCGCGGTGCCGCCCGCAGTCAACTCGTTTCGCATTTGGGAAATTTCGCGTTCTACTTCTTCGCGAGCCCGGTTTATATTTTGTTCGTCGAATTCCTGATCTATACTTTCGTTATTTATTTCAGCCCGCTGTCTTGTGTAAAACAACTCGTTTTCCTATGAAATTAAAGAAGACCTCTGAGTACCACTGCTCGAGGTTCGACTGTTCTCAATTCTACCGCAGGTTATTACATTTTGTAAATAACCGGCTATACTACCGTCTAAATCAAACGGACATTCTCTTTCTACAATCACATTCGGATTCAAATTCCTATCCTGCCTATTTATTTCCGCTTCTTGATAAAGCGCCGCCGGTGCGGTTCTCGGTTCCCGTACCGGTATTAGACTTTGTAACGACCGCGCTACTCGCTCGGATTGTACGCCGCGTTGTTGCAAACGCCAGTTACCGAACATATGTTTCGCTCGCTTTTACAAAATTTATTCGACTTACAGTAGTTGATCTAATTCCGCTTACGAGAGTCGTATCTGCGTGGTGCTGCTGACTCAGCTTTCCTTGCGCCGCTGCTGCCACTGCCTCGCCGCTTTGCTGGTTCGTTGTTTTGCTGCTTTTCTGCTACCGCTGCTTCGCCGCTACCGCTGCCTGGCTTGCGTTGACTGCTTTGTCACCTTTGCTGCTTTTTCGGTGCCTTTCTCTGCTCTTCCGTCACAGCTGCTTGTCTGCTTGTCGCTTGTTGCTTTCAAAATTTCCCGGCAGTAGATTTTGTTTCCCGTTCTGCTACTGCAGTCCGGCCGCTTCCTTATTTCCGCCTTGTGTCACTGCCCGTCGCTTGGCTTGCGTTAGGTCAGTGTTGCCTTGTAACTCGAGACTGTGAGTTTGCGGTGTCTTTTATTCTCTTTTAAACCCGTAGTTTGCAAGACATTTTTTTAACGACTGCTTTTCTTTTTGTTTTAGAAGCAGTATTCCAGAACGGGGTTACATATATTTTATATATTTGCTTTTATATTTTTTTAAAAAATAATACACCCCTATTTTAAACTTGAACTCTGCCGTTTTCGTTCTTTTTTTTTTCTTTCTCACCCAGTGTCTGTTTCCTTGATCCAACCGGAATCTCCTGCAGAGTCCCGTCCTTGACACACGGATTGAGAGATTCCACCGCTGCTACCAAAATTTGTTGGATGTCGAGAAAGGTCGGGTGGTAAAGATGAAGTTCTAGTCTTGAACTTGTATTCTTATCTTTATTGCTCGGACTACAA